TGTAAGTGACTGCGACCACTTTTTGGGCGTCACGGTTAATTGTTTTCCATAAGCGACCAGTTGACGCATTCTCTGCTCTCTATTTTTGCTGTGTGCACTATGTTCCTTGGAAAATATGAAGACCTTTAGTGACATCGTGGAACTACACATATGCTAACTTTGAGATGTAGCCAACAAAGTGAAGATTCTGTTGTGATTCTAGACTATTCTGTATCTCACTCACCTGAATCCCTCTTTAAATTGAGCATGATTTAAAAGCTGTATTTTTCAAAAGAGGTAAAAGATAATATTTTGCCAGGAATTTGTTACACCGCCATTTAATAGAATGTGTCCGGACCTCTTCTCGGAATAGACCCCATGAGGTCCGATTCTTCTAAACGGCCACCTCCCGTTAGAGACCATTAAGTCTTTGCATTTTTGGTGGTCGCTTACTGGAGGTACGACTGTATTACTTTGACCTATCAGAGGCTTACCGATAATAAAGGGGATCTGGAAGGGGGCATGGATGCGACAATCACATGCCAGGTCGCTTACTTAAAATAGTGGACATCTAACTGACAATCAAAGTTTGTGCCTATTATTGGGGTTATCTGGTGTTTACTCACCTCCCAAGCTGCCCTGGGCGAGCCAACTTTTCCTCCATTTCCTTACATGAGAAACAAAAGGTTGGTTCGGATAGACGCCTTACTACCAGTGAGCGGGGTTGAGGGCTTCCGGAAATCAGCCCCCAACTGAGGCGGTAGTGGTGGCCTCACCCTTCTAGCCCGGCTAATATTTCTTCACTTTGGCTCGCCCAGCTAGCTGGGACGACACGGTCAAGGCTAGACAAAGACAGCATGCGCAAGCACTGTTGACTCGGACAAAGTCGTCAGTTTTTTCCTCATACAAACGCTCGCAAAAGTTGGCTCGGCTGGGAGGTTGACCTTCTCTCCGGCACAGCTTTTCTCCATCCATGGGTTCCAAACAGTCTTTAGTCACGTTTGAAATTTATAGGAAAATGATGTGGCACTTCAAAAATTAATAATAAAAAAAATACACTTTTTTCACAGCCTGTCAATGCCTAGAAGGTGTCTATAAGAGAAATCAACTGCAGAACAGGAGTCAATTTCAGTTTTTTGCGCTTTTCATGCTAGCACTGCGAAGCGGACTGGGGGTGCGAGACACGCGCGATGCATGGGGAACAAGTTCTGCAGGCTATAAAAGAAATTAAAAAACAAACAAACAAATAAAGCAGGCCTGATTTTATTTTGATGAGTCTATTTTTTGTCGAAAGCAAGCGTGAAAAATCGTATTAAAATTCGTGACAGTATGCTAACGTGACTTAAGCGTGTGACCGATTTCGGTCACACGCCAAAGGTCATACGATCTTGTGCGATGTTTATTATCAGCCGACGAACGATTGATGAAAGTGATGAAAGGTTTTCAAAATCGAAGTCATTAGTTTGCGATGAATTTTCAATCTTTTGGCCTCCTGACTGAAGTAAAAACTCTTGCAACTCTTGCTTCCAAAGGACCGCAGTGACGTGTTGTGACTTTATTTCGATTCACGGCGGATTCTGGCGCCGTCGCTGAGCAAACGTACGTTTGTCTTTTGGACCTTTTGGCTTAAAATTATGGATTTTGTGACTCAAACCGACGCAACAGAAGTTGGAAATAACTTTCCTTGCCGTAAAAACGTGTTACAAGCAATGGTGAGTAATCCTTTCATGTAAAACCTTTCTTTTAGTTTGACAACCGTCCGCAAGCCGTCTAATTTGCATAAATTTCCCAATTCAATTGCTCTCACCGCTTGCTTTGTTGTCAGGATGGTATTTGATTTCCAGAGCTAAAACTTTCCAGTAAGCTAGTACAAAAGCCAAGGTTCCATTTTATATTGATTTTATGATCAAGCGGCATATACCAGAGGCCCTTTTTAATAGTCAAAGTTGGCCTTCGTTTTCTAGCATGTCTAACGTCACAAATATGACCTCTTTAGACTTGTCGATTATAAAAATATAAGACATTGTTTTTCAAATTTTCTTTTAAGGTTTTCAAGAATAAGAACAAAATAATAATTTGGTGAAGTTTCAGTGTCAGGGAATCTTTCTTACGCGTTCGCCCTTCTTTCGAAGTTGCCATTGCATCCTGCCGTGTTTTGTTCGAAAAACAGGAATAAAATCGATTTTTCAAACTTTTTTTAATTTCTCCTTTAAAATGAATCGTTTGAACCCAAAACTATTTTTCCTTAAATTAGGTCACTAAAAGGGATGTTTTGGCAAATAATAAAAAATTCGATTTTTTGACGAGTGTCTTGCGATTCTCGATTTTCTCAGAAAATGGCTCTTAAGAGCCAATGTCGGAAAATATCGAGAATCTCAAATCAGTTCCAAAAATTCCAGTTTTGGCTGATACAACCCAAACATGCCTTTAGGGGAACTATTTCAAGAAACGATATTAAGAAATCCCCAAGCGCTTTACATTTTGAGAATTTTAGAAAGGTTCGAAAATTCGCAAAAAATACATTTTTTAACTCGGGAAACGGGTGCAACTTTCAACATATTTCAACGAAACAGTACAAGCGCGCCAAAGCTCCTATTGACTTGATGTTACTCATGTATTTAGCAGACATCCACAGCTTCAAGACCCCGTAAAAAAGTTTTGCAAAATAACTATTTTGATATAGTTTCTGGCTTTTATTGTGTGCGCTCCGATAGTGTGTTGTTTTGACAGTCAAAATAACGCCCAACTTCAACTGTCAAAAGTCGATCCTGGTATGTCACAAATTGAAAAAACAACTATACCAAACGAAAGACCTGTTATTTTTTTAATTACACCTGAAGTTTTAGCTCTGCGAATTTAAACGTGTGCGAGTAATAAAATTTCAACTTGTGCCCCCTAAGTCGCCTGTCCGCGACAAGAACAGGAACGTAAACAAAGGAAAACATATGCAAATCGAGGAGAAAATCATACGGAAGTTATAACTTACCCCTCAAAGCGCAAAAAATTGGTGGAATTCTGTTACCTTAACAGGTATTTCTATCTGAGAGACTAATAAAACGAAATTATCCGTCCAATAATAATAAAAAAGCTATAAAAAGGGCTGGAGGGCTAGGGTCATGAAATCGCATCGGACGGGAACTCGTGTGTATGGTTCCGGAGGTAAAAAAGCTTCTAAAGAAGCTTTCAAAATGCACCATGGAGCAAGCAAACAACGTCAGTAAAGTAGACTGATATTTTGAGGTATGATAGAAATGAACCATAGTAAGTTTATTTTTACAAGTGACCCTTAAAATTACAAGAGATAAGAAATAAAATGACAGAGGCGGGCCGGCCATCGACAGTTCCATTTTAAATGGTCCGTCCCTTGGCTATCGTACTCAATGTTAAGTCCAAAAAACCGAAACAAGATTCAACGAAATAAAACATATATTACAATAATCTTTAAAAAGTATAATGCTAACTTGAGAATTAGATTTCCCGCATCGCAAAGTTTTAATTATGTAAATATCAGGAATGTTTACTTACTGATCTTATGTCGTGTTACATGTTCCAAGTTCCACAGGAGAAGAGTAAAACCCTCCGTCTTGTTTATACATTTCATAAAAAAAGACTAACTTATTTGTTTACTAGAACTATAGATAGGGAGTTAATAATCCTCCTATAAACACAGAAAACGAAGAAGCCAATTCATCTCGTTTTTTTGGTGTTGTGTTACCTGTCACATTTTTCAAGTCACGTGATTTGCTGTACACGGTTTGTGAAAATGAAATACAAAACATATTATTTAGTTATTTCTTTTAAGGTAGTCACCTGCAAAACATCGCACAATTGTCAATGAATAAAGAAGGACTGTGCAATCAAAACTAACAGAATCTCCTGGAGCACACAAGCCATCTCCGTTTAAATTTTCATTAACAAAAACATCATCTTGTATTCAGAATTTCCCGTTTTTTCCAGTATGCAAGGAAAAATTCTGAAAAAATACTTCATGCACGCCGAGTAGCCTTAAAAATACTCCCGCATTGGCCTAACAAAGTTCAAGCAAGGGAAATGTCAACGATAAAGTATTCTTCGACACGCGGCTCTAAAATACTCCACCCCCCATAACTTTTGTAATGGTCCGTCTCTTACAACTAAAGTATTTGAGATTTTCGTAGGCTCGATTACCAGCAGTTGCTTAGGAAATGAGCCCGCTCCTCCCCCAAAAAGTCTCTTCTCAGAGAGGAGGGAGCGCTAAGCAGTTGTCCCTTTAAGAACGGTCACTGCCATTTTTAAGACACTTAGAAAATTTTTGACCTGTTATTGAGAGTGTTTCTATTTGAAAGAAAGAAAATCGGGACCCACGGTCAAACCCCACGGTACCTTTCGTATCCTAATCTCTCTCCCTTACCTCTCTACTTTTGGACTACCACATCGACGCGCCAAAATTCCGAAAAATTTAACAATAGCAGCGGCCCAAACCGAGCCTAACATCTCCACTTATTTTTCTTTACGTTCGTAAAATATCACTTAAAAAACGACCGACAGATTGGTGCCAAGTAAAAAACGGGGACAGGACTTAGTCCCGGGAGGGGGGGGGGGTACTCCCTTATACAAGGCATATAGGTATGTGCCGCCCAGCGGTAGGGGTTTTGGGCCTTTTGGTCTGAAAACGGGTACACTCTTTGCCCAGTTTGGTATGGAGTCGTGTATGGTTTTCGAAGGAACTACGGAGTGTATGACCGTTTTTATCGTTTCAATTCCAAATGAGAAAGAAAGAAAGAAAGATAATTATGCGAATTCGAGATGGATTTAATTTTTTTTTTGTTTACGCTTTAATCTAAGTAATGATAACATAATTTTTCCTAACGGCCAGGTCTGAAAACGGGTATGGATTTTAGTGGTCGGGTCTGAAAACGGGTGTGGAAAATGACATTTTTTGGTCTGGAGTAGGGTCAGAATTAGGAGAAACAGGCGGCACACCCCCACCAAGAATTTTTAGGAGTACCCCCGGACTAGCGTCACCTATTCAGTGCTCAATTTCAGCCTTGGCTTTGGCATCTACAACTACTGATGGCTTCTTTGAGCAACTTCAGGTATGGAGCTTTACGGCGAATTGGTTGATCGGGAATGTCAAGATTGAGGCCTTGACAAATCACCTGAAGCAACGAAACCTTCAAGTTCTTTAATGTGTCTTCTTCTGCCATGGCACAGATGTTGTACTGGTCAAAAACAATGGGATGTTGGAGTGTGACAGTAGCCATCACTTGGTCTCTAGCCGTGGAAAAGTTTATTTCATCTTCAATGGCGGTAAGGTCGGCTTCATGGGTGAGGGTCTGTTGGCGAGTTGTCGCGGAAAGGCGAGAGAAATATGAAGAAATCTGCTGAGAGGTAAGAAATTCGGTTGATTTAAAAAGCCGCTCGCCATTCGAACCATGGGCACGTCTCATATCACATGCTACAAGACTTGCGTCGACTTTCCCGTCCAGTGGACTGACCAATGTTGAATTTAGCAGTGAGGTAGGCCTTCTGCTTTTCAATAAAACGGTACGCCTTCTTAGCTGGTCGCAACGCCCATCCCTCTGTTAAACGTTCTCTGTATTGTTTGTTTGCAGCGCTGGTGGTTCTTAAGGTTGGCACGACACCGACACCCTCTTCTAAAACCTGCTGATAGCCAAGCTTAGCAAGATCCATAAGAGTGTGTTTTTCCAAGGACCGTATGCATTTCTCAGAGGACAGATGTTTCGTTAATGCCGAATGTCTTTGGAAAAGCCTTGTACATCCACTCTCGGGGCAAGTGTATAAACCATGGTTTGTCTGACTCTCCTGTACGTCACTGGAACTCTCTCTTGTTTTGGGAGACTCGTCGTCGTCATATTTTTTGCGCCTGTATGTGCTTGCTACCCAAGTTATACGCTTTTCACACAAACGTTTTCCCACATGGGATGAGGATATAGCGATACTCAAGCTTACCTCACCTATTGATATAATTAATGTGCCAACAAGAAGTGCATTACCCTGGGTACCAGGGTTTTTTTCCGCGCGGAGGGCCTGCGGGAATCCTCGGCGTCGGCCGACGGCCGAAGTCTTGAGAAAAATGCGGCTCACTGTTAAGGCTTTACAGAAACCGGAAACCAGGCAAGAAAAGTCTCTCCCAGGGTAGAAGCGCTTTGGTTCTTGTAACAAAAGACTATTTTGTTTCAGTCGTTACAAATTACAATGTTTGTAAACAGTGATGTCTCCAGTATCTTATAGGTAACTAACGATTAGGCGGGAACTGAGGTGAAATGTACCTATACTTATCAATACTCCAAATTTATTAATGCATTAACCATCGAATTTTTCTGTTTGCTTAAAACATACCTTGTAGTCTCCTTTTAGATAAAGCTTAGCAGCTTTGAGCGACTCGATCATTCGTCTTTCCCAATCCATGTCACTTTCCACTTCATTTATTTTACGCATCAGTGATATCAGGTCATCAAATGCTCGTGTACCATCCGCGGCATAGTAATCGAGTCCCTGAAGAGACTTTCTTACTGACGCACTACATTGAGACAAAACGCGCAACATCGTGCTTTGACTAAAAGGCTTAAAGCCAGTCTCTTCACAGTACTGAGTATATTGACGCACGATTCGTTGAGGTATCATGGTTCTTATCACGTTGGGGACTTTAATGACTTCACCCGTCGAAAGAGTCAACTGTTTCTGTCCGAACGGAAGATCTTGTACTAAGTGTGGGCTTGTGATAAAGCACAGAAAATGATCTAACTGTTTTAGATCTACTTTTATTCTTGTTAACACCCGAGGAGGTACAGGTGCGCCTCGACCAAACTGAAGGCGGTGCAGATTTGCCATAGAGTACCGGTACCTTGTTAGCCCTGGAATGAAGGTGGCTAAAATTTTAAAACCAGCAACACCAGTCATTACAGAAAGGATTTGTCGGCGGGTATCCCAGCTATCGGCGTTATTATACGCTTCAGTTAGGGCTTCTAGGTAACGCTGATCTGCTTGTGAGATATCTTCAATACCAAGCAACTTATTTATGGAAGCTGTTGATGTCATGGCTCTCCAAATAAGGCCAGCATCTTCGGGAGAAATTGTTTTTAGCACTGCAGCTACGATGTCGCTTGATCTTCTTGTATACCTTTGCTTAGTGGATTCACTGCAACTGCTAAAGTCCAACCATTTTCTTTGAAGCGGCGGTATATTCCAAGCCACCAAGAACTCATTCAGAAGGCTACGCTGCATTTCTGCGGCTGTTGCTTGAGAGGGAACAATTTCATCGCTTTGAGTAGACGTTGTGCTCCTGGTTTCAGGGCTTAAAAAGGTCTCATCGGCAATTTCTAACTTGCTTAATGCACCAAGGACAGCACTAGAGACATCACTGTCTGCAGATGTCGACTCCTCAGTTTCCTACACATTTAAAATAAATAACAAATTAGAGAATCCTTTTAATTCCCATTACAGTTTAAACCGGTTTGCCGCATTTTTCGATTTTGTAAGGATAAGAGGATAATACAGTTTGAAAAAAAGAAAAACGTATCGAAGACGCAGGTGAACAATTTGCTCGTTTGATGGCACTTTATTCACAGCTTTTTGCTTCTTTAAGTTTGATTGGGTTGAAGTTCAGCCTTTCAGCCTCGGCCGAATTCACCTTCCTCGGTCTGCCTAAAATCATTTCTTTTGGTGCTTCATGCGTTACAGGAACTGGCTTACGCTTAGTGGCAACCTCGACTCGACCCCAGTAATTCTCAATTGACCTTTCTTTTTCTGGCGTCTTTCCTGTGATATTGACATCTTTTTCCAGATATCACAATCGTCGTCAATGTTTGCTGTTTACAAAGAATAAGGGGGGAGGTTGGGTGGGGGTGGGGGCGGGGAGGTTGGGTGGGGGTAGGGGCGGGGGGGGTTTGAGCCAATCAATAACGGAGAAATATTTTGGGCTTATCAACATACCAGCCTTGTATCACCAGTTTCCAAGAGTCCTTCTAAATTCTTTACTTCATCCCCACTTTCCATAGATCCGTCTAACTTCTCCTCTTCAGCTTTAGCTTCCTTAGGTCCTTCTGATCCCTTCTCTATTGCTCCAGCGCCCATTAGACGTTTTTCCTCTTCCCTCGTCAGATGTCCAAAGCAAGTCGAGCAAATAGCTAATGTGAAATAATAGTATGTTAGAAAATCCTCGATTAAGGCCCCTAGGGGTGGCTTAATAGAGATGGGGGACTTACCCCCCTGAGGAGTGGCTTAATAGAGATGGGGTTCTTCTTATGGGCTCTTGAACTTGGTATCAGTTTTCCATAAAGAACTCAAATGCAATGTGGAAAAGCTCAAGCGCAGGAAGTTGAAGGTCATGCGGCCGAGGATCAAAAACAAACCCGAACTTCCAGCTGGTGAATAAACCACCCCTGTATTCCATCACTTCCTTACCCAACCGCTGTTTGTTACTAACAGAGTCAGAGAGTTCAATCTCTCCTAAGAATTTCAGTAAAATTACAAGACATAACGTAAAAATCACTTACACGATCCAACAACAATTAGCTGGCCTGTTTCCTTCAAAATAAGTGAAGGTAGTTGACTGCTTATTCTGCGTGTTCCTTTCACTTTTGCTGACTTATGTGCGATCATTGGGCTTGGAACCGAACACATAGTTTTCCCTGTTCTCCATCTTATATCATATTCCGCCCGATGACGGGGACATATAGTTATAAGGTCATGAGACACATCCGGCGAAAAAATTCTTGATTAGAAAAAAACCTTCGGAATTAGAATTGTGTTAGGTGCTGACAGAACATCAAAACAAAGTAAAATTCAACCACTTGTCATTTACTGACCTGCACGAGCTAGTAGCAGTTTCCTTTCACTTTCCAACGATGGATCTTCACTGAGGCCATACATTTCCAGATGTCTCGTGATGTCTCGTTCGCATTTACCAAGAGGTATACATTCGTATTGACCAGGATATTCCTGGCTAACACCGCATTTAAAATTCCCATCCAACAAGAGTCGAAAAAGTACACAACATTTTTTTCTTTCCACACACGTTCGTTATAAACGCTGTAGGTTATACCATGTGTTGATTATGCAATGCAGTTCTTTTTAGATTTCGACATACTGTACAGAATTAGGTGATTACCAGTTCGGGAGTATGCCAGTTTTGGAAGAAGCAATGACGTCATGATTCTATTGTTCTGCTAAAAATACGCCAAAATGGGAAAAAATAATCGCCAAAAACAAGGGAGCTTTTTTCAAAACCTGTTCCAGGTCCACTCGTTCAATATCCGGAACGTCCGAGCTAGTAGTGCTGATGAAGAAGCCTTTTCCTTGCTTTTTGAATGTCAAGAGCAGTTTCGTGCCACATTACGGTAGTTAAAATCGACAGTTATCAAACAGCGTTCGAAGACGTCGCCGCCATCTTGACGGGCATCGAATGTAAGTACATGTCTTCATGTTTAGTTTTCAGTATCTTGCCGAATTTTTACGAAATCAAGACTAATTTTCCTCAAAACTACAACGTGTAAGGTGTGTTCAGGCAAAGTTTCATCGATGGTAACAACCTAGTAAAAATGGTAACCACACATTGAAAATTGCCAACGGACAGGAAGGGTTACTATATTGATGGTTATGCCTTAGTCTGTCTATGTATTTTTAGTTATATTAAGGGATCAAGTCTGTTTTTGGTTGTGTTCACCGGCAATGTATGCGACTCTGATCTAGAAATCACTTTATTGATCCAGATCATGGGTGTGGAATGAGTTTTATATCAGTGTGAGTAGGTTCTTATATTGATTTCTTATATTTTGATCAGGATGTTCGTCCAAAATGTAGACAAACATCTGGACATATTACAAACATGTTGTCGCGTTTGTGCCAAAAAGCTGGGAAAAGGAACGAGGAAGACAAATGTTAAATATCTTCAGAACGACATATTTGTGCTCTGAGGGCAAAATGTTGCTTTAGATTCGCCTCATGTTACTCTGTAATAAAAAAATTTAATGTCCAAATTCAACCCTACCTCAGTAAAATCAAACATGTGTTTTTGTTTCTTTGTAGTGTGGTCACAGGCTTACCTACCACCACAAAAGCCCCTCCCCCCTCTCAAAAATGGGTAGGAGGGAAACAGGTCGGAGGGGGGCTTATATACCTTGTGAGTGGAAGCTCACACTCAATGACCATTCAACCATAGAAGAGACTGTGGCCCTTATTCAAGGGGCTGTAAAGGAGATAGATGAGGAAGGAGTCATGGAAGTGGAGGCTTGTGAAGATTTTCTTCACATAATGTTCAATCCCTTGCGTCAAATATTGTTTGTACTTTACAAATGCCAAATACATAATTTGTTCAGTCCCTGTGCTGTGCAAAGGTCAATCTGAAACAGGAAAAATGCCACACTCTCCCCCATCAATACCTTTGCATGAGCAATAAGCCCACATTTTATGTCATAATATTGAATATGTTTGTATTTGAATAAATCCTAAATTATTGAGATTCTGTCGGTGAAAAAGCATCTATATTAATGTATCGTCTTCAACAAATCATCCTCCCTAATAAATAATACATGAGAGACATCTCACAAGATAACTATTGAAACCCTATGTAAGCTGCTACTGTCTTCATTATATCAATTAAGCTTTGGTTTTTGGTTTTCATGTCCAAGAAGGTGTTAAAAAAACAAGATTTTGAGATATAAGAGTGTGTATAATATGGGAGCCAGCGAGCCATGGCAGTGAGTCATGCAGGTCAGATACAACTCATTGAAAACAATACATAAAAATTGAAAACAGTAATACCGAAAGAATTAACCTAAAGCTAACCATGGTAAATAAGTGTTTAACCCTAAACAGCACTTAATCATATCCCTAACCCCAACCTAAACCCTAATCAGTAAAAAGAATGCCCAACCGTAATCTGTAAAATTTGCAGTTTTTACTTGTTTTTACTTTATTTTTGCTGATGGTCTGCGAACTTGCATAGCTCCCTTGCTCATAGTTTATGTCAGGACCAGAAATAAAATGTTTATTTACAAAAAACAAAATGTAACAATGAAATTAATAACTTTTATAATTGTATCTTTACTCTGATGTGTGAGCTTTGTTTTCTTGAAAGTGCTGTTCAATAGAAACATGGAGAACTGTGAAAAAGAACGTTGCAAAATTTTATGTTATGTCCATGCCAAAAGCAGCAATCATTATTATTTTGGGCCAAACCTTGTCTAATAGAATTGTTTGAGGGTCCCCACAGAGAAGACTCGGAGAAAAGTGCTCCTCAAAGTTACAATGCCTTTGGTTTGAAGGCAACCCCAGAGTTAAAAACAATATTTAGTATTATTCGGATATACATCAAATCCCATATAAGAGGATATTTTATAACAACCCATAACCCTGTTGATCTCTGACCTCTGGTCAAATCCGGTGGACTACAAGACTATGGTATCCCATTTTAATCAGTATATCCAAAAACATGTAACAGGCATTCTTAGTTTTCCAATATGTATATTAAATTCTAAAGAGTCTCTTGCATTTGTTAAGCTTGAGCAAATACTCAGTGAATTTCAGACAGTGGAATAATTGAAAGCAGTAGGTTTTTTTTGAAGCGGGACAAAGAAAAAATGGTCGGGGATGATAAGCAAGATTTTCACTTTGTGGGTTTTCAAGAAGAAAACGCGGACACAATACCCTCAGAAATCCCTTGTAAACCTGTTGTATACCTGGACGGAACCCCTTCAGGACATACACCAACAGAACATCATATTCGAAAAAAACAGATATTTTACTCACAAATGACTCGCTTGCACCAAAACAATAACCTGAATTACAGCCGTCTTCTCCGGCCAGTCGCTCACTCCCCAAGAGAGAAACAGAGGCAACGGGAAAAATTACAGTAAAGTTTATCTTTGCAAACTTAAGGAAATAAGTTATAGAACAACTCACTTTTTTAGTTGTTTCCAAAGCATTCTTTCTTCTTATAATATAAAAAATTAATGAAAGAAATAGGCACAAACTTGTTAGCGTGCTTACCATTTACATACGCAGTGAGTACGAAGTGCCTACAAAGCGCGCAATAAGCGTAGAACTATAGCGCAAGAATGGTTACTCCTTGTCCTCAAGGTACTTCCCAATTCATAGTAAGGAGAAGACAAATAAAAGGCTCGATGAAACAAGAATAAACGAGAATTTCTGTCAATACTCTTTCCTCTCCCTTGTCCGCCATTTTGTATGTTTTGAAAATGACCATCGCCATGGTGATCATGTTATGGTTGGTGACGTAGACCATTGTTTTCGCTTCTTCCAAAACTGGCATTCTCCCGAACTGATTACGTGTACACGGGAAAGATTGCGTGAGCGGCTGCAGAGTAATTTAT